GGGGGGGGGGGGGGGGGGGGGGCAGTGGGCGGAGGGGCACACGGGGGGGGGGGGGGGTGGAAGGTAAGCTGTCGCGCGCGGCCCCCCCCCCCGCTCCGCCCCGGTCGCGCGCGTTGCCCCGGCTCATGCGCCGGGGGCCCGGGAACGGGTGCGTGTTCTCCGGCGGTCGCCAGCCCGGCGTGGTGCGACGGGACACCCTGCTGCGTGGGGGTGGGGGGCGCTGAGCCATGCGGTCCGCCGCAGGGCGCCCGTCCCGCCCCCGAGGACGGCCGGGGGGGGGCGGGGGGGAGGGCGGGGGGCACATCCGCGCGCGCGCGCACTCGCCCGGGGCTCCCGCGGTCCCGGGACGACAAGCGCCCCCTGGAGCCGGCGAAAGCTCCTTCTGGCGGGCCCTTGGGTCTGAAGCCCGTCTCGGGGGCTGCCTGGCCCGGGGCGCGTGTTCCCCCCCCCCCCCCCCCCCCTTCAGAGGCTACGGGGTCCCGCGCGGGCCTCTGGGCGTGTGTATGTTGCGCGCGCATACGTGCGCGCATGTGTTGTGCCTGTGTGTCCGGGGGCGGGGGCCGGCACGGGAGCCGTGGTGCGCAAGGGCTTTTTTGTATAAAAGCACCCGCGCCGCCGGACGCCTCCCCCAGGCCGTCCCCCCACCTCCCAGTCTGTTTTTTTTGATGTACATTTCCCCTGCCTCTTCCCCCCCCCCTCCTCTGTCCTTCCCCCCCCCCTCCTCGCGTGCGCTCGCCGGTCTCTAACCTCGCCGCCACCCTGTGTCCGCCGTCTGTGCCCCCTCTTCAGAGCAACTTGGTGGATACATCCCTCCCGAACAGCCAATCACCATGCCCATTGAGCAGATCACCAGCGACACCGAGTCCATGGCCGGCGACGTCCCCATGTCCCCCAACCTCTTCCACACCATCTCCGCGCTGGAGAGCCTCCAGGCCAAGCGCAACGAGCTGGAGGCCCAGCTGCGCCTGGAGATCTTCAAGCTGGAGTCCGAGTACCAGAAGAAGTACAACGAGCTCTACGAGCGCGTACGTGCCGCCGCCGCCACACACACACACACACACACCACACGCTCGTGGTGTGCTTGTCGCGCCCTCCCCCAGTCTCCCCCCTGGGCCGCTCTGCTCCTTCTCGAGCCACTGACCCTGCCCCTCCCCCATACCCCCCCCCCGGCCGGCGCACACACACAGCGCACTGAGATCATCTCCGGCGCCTCCCACCCCACCGAGGAGGAGCTGAAGTTCGTCGGCCCCTTCGCGCAGGACCTCCTGTCGATCGACGCCGTCAAGGACGCCCTCTCGGCCCCCTTCGACCCGGCCACCGCCGAGGGGATCCCCAACTTCTGGGCCCAGGTCCTGAACAACCACCCGATCCTCAGCGACCTGATCAACGACGAGGATGCCGAGGCTCTGGAGTTCCTGACCAACATCACGGCCGACTACGACGCCGAGAAGCTCTTCTACTCGGTGACCTTCCACTTCTCGGAGAACCCCTACTTCACCAACGAGACCCTGGTCCGCACCTACTACCTGACCAATGACAACTCCCCGAGCAACACCTTCATGCGCCCGCTCCGCGCCACCACCACCCAGATTGACTGGAAGGACGGCAAGAACCTCATCGAGGAGGCCAGCCCCGACAGCAGCCAGGGGTCCTTCTTCCAGTTCTTCTGCGACTCCCACATCGGCCAGGTCATGGACGAGGACATGGACTCCGATGATGAGGGCTACGCCTCCATGCAGAAGATCATCCAGGACCGCATGAGCGAGGACTTCCAGATGGGCGAGCTCATCCGCGAGGACATCGTCGGCTGCGCCATCGACTGGTACTCCGGCTATGCCCTGACCTACACCAACTACGTGCGTCTGATGCCGGCCTCCTCGCGCCCCTGCTGTCTCTCTCTCTCTCTCTCTCCCTCCCCTTTGCCCATGTCCCCGGTCTCTAACGCGCCCATTCACCGGTGCTTTCTCTCTCTCTTCCCCCCCCCCCCGCGCACACACAGCTCGACGACGATGAGGAGGAGTACGACGAGGATGACGAGGAGTACGATGAGGACGATGAGGACGACGACGACGAGGATGAGGACGACGAGGACGACGACGCCGCCCCCGCCGGCGAGCAGGCCCGTCCCACTGAGTGCAACCAGCAGTAAGTGGACCCTCGCATGTGCATGTGCGTGCGTGCGTGCGTGCGTGCACCCCCCCCCCGGTCGTCTGCGCCCTCCTTCCCTCCCCCTGTGAGGAGGGAAATGGGCTTTTATGCCCCTTAGAGGGGGCAGATGGGCGATGTCGGAGGGGCAAGGCAGCCTGCTCTCCTCTCTCCCTCTCCCTCCCCCCATGCCGCGAGAGGAAAGTGAATGTCCTCTGCGCCGGTGTGCGTGCACGCGCACCGGGGTGTGCCCAGGCCATCTCGCATGTATCCCAAGATTGCACCACATGCCGTCCGATCAGTCGGAGGGAGGGCGGGGGCGGTGTGGGAGGACCGCGCATGCGCGCGCGTCGCACACGTCCGCCCGCCCGCCCCTGTCATTTGCGGGAGAGGGAGAGAAAGTTCGCTTTTCCCCATCACCCCTCTGCTCTCTATATACACCCCCTCTCACACACATACACCCAATACATATACACATAAACACGCCACCCGCCCGATGGTTGTCCTGCCGGCCTCCCTTCTTCCCCCTCTCTCTCTCTGTTGCTGTATGCTGGGCGGGGGTGCGGATGCGGCGCGGCCAGGGGAGGGCAGGAGGATTTATGTTTGTATTTTTGTGTCTTTTCATTTCCGAACGGGGATGTTCTGGGTCCCGGGGGAGAGGGGGATAGAGGAGGGACAGCACACTTGTCGGGGGAGGCGCCGCGGGGGCTCCTCCCTTCGGCCAAGGACAACACGCCACAAGGTCTCCCAGAGGGGGGGAGGGAGGCATGGAGGAAAGGCGCTGGAGAGCCGAGAAGAAAGGCCCGGAGGGGATGGGAACCGGGGAAGGGACCGGGGTGGCGCCGGCACGCCCATCAGAGCAGGGCAAGGGTCATCTGGTCCAGGACCTCCGGGGCGGCACCGCTGGAGTTCAGCAGCTTCTGGAAGTCCTCGAAGTTGATGAGACCATCCTGGCATCGGAGAGGGGGGGGGGGATGCGTGAGAGGGCAGAAGCGAGGGAGGGAGAGAGAGAGAGAGGCAGAATGAAAGGAGGCGAGAGCAGAGTGCGCCGATTGTGCCCGGCCGGGCACAATGCACGGCCACACGCACCCCGTCATGGTCGCCGGAAATCATGGCCCGATCGACCAGCTGCTGCAGCTGCACCGGGCCCAGGTTGTCGCCGACCATGGTGCGAAGAACGCGGAACAGGTCGCCGGGGCTGATGAAGCCGTCCCGGTCGACGTCGTACACCCGGAACATGAACTCCAGCCGCTCCAGGTGCGTCCCGCGGGTGCTGAAAATCTTGAGTGCCTGTGGGTGGGGATGGGGGGAGGGGGCGAGGCCGGTGTGCGGCCCGGGAGGGTCAGAGGAGGGGAAGGGAAAGAGGAGGCTGGGGGAGGGGCAAACACGGAGGGAGGGGAGAGCCAGAGGGAGAGGAAGGGGAGGGCCAGAGGGGCTGCGCACCCGCGCGAACTCGGCGAAGTCCACATCGCCGCCACCGTCGGCGTCCAGGACCTGAATGATCCGCCGGGCAAGGGGGTTGGTCGAAACGCCAGCCACCGCGGCAAACTCCTCGTGGTCCACGGCGCCGGAGCCGTCGGCGTCCAGGCGCCGGAAGCGAATTAGCGCCCGAGTGAGCTCCTCGTTGGTGAGGCCGACGTCGCGGGAGAGGGAGTCCAGGGAGGCGGCCTGGTCCTCCTTGTTGGCCAGGAGCTGGGACTGGTGTGCGCCCATGGTGTGTACGTGCGTGCGGGGGTGCGGGCGTGCGGGCGTGCGGGCGTGCGGGCGTGCGGGCGTGCGGGCGTGCGGGCGTGCGGGTGGGAACGGGGTGAAGAGGGCGCTGGAGGGGAGGAGGGAGGAAGCGGATCTGCATGGATCCGCTGCACCGGGCCCCGGGTGTGCCGGCGTAAAAAAAAACTGGCCTCATTTTCCGGGGGCCCAATCTGGCAAGGGGCGGGGGGACTCGATCTTCCAGTGCGCTCCCCGCTCCCCTGCAGGCGGGGGAGTCCCCGGGAGCTCCCACACCAATACCGAAGGAGGGGGCGGGGGGGCGGGGGGGCGGGGGGGCGGGGGGGCGGGGGGCGGGAACTTCCTCTCGGGCGAGGTGGCCACACTCGGACGGGGAGCGGCGTTCGCCGGCGGTTCGACCCTCACCCCCCGGGCGCAGGCATGCCGTTCCCGGAACACCACCGAGGCGAACATCCTCTCCAGGGCCGCCCCCCCCCCCCAGACACACACACACACACCCGCCGGGCCCCGGCCTCCGGGCGCGGGGGGACGGCCGACCCCGATCACTTGTTGGCCGCTGGTGCGCCGGCGCCCGGGAGATGTCCACACGGGGCGGGAACGCCCGGGACCCGGTCAGGGATATGCGCTCGCCCTCGAGGATACGCTGCCCTCCGCCCGCCCAGACGTTTGGGCGCGCACGCAGCCAGGCACGCACGCACGCACGCACGCACGCACGCACGCATGCACGCACGGCACGCACGCGCCCGGCCCCAGGCGACGGACCGAGGTCTCTGTCCAGTTCGCACGGCAACGTCAGCCCACATTCTCCGCAGCCCGCCCCGCCCGCGTCCCGGCAGACGCGCGCGCAGCCAGGCCACTCTGTTCGCGGCAACCGGGGTGCCGCCGCCAACGGGGCCGGGGGGGGGCGTAAGAGCGTTGACAAAGGACAGGATGTGCCAACGTACCGGCGCTTGGTCCGTGTGCTCCTCTTCCAGAACAGCCAGGCCCACCCCTCGATCTCCGGCCTGCCCGATGGAGGCAGGGGAAAAGTCCCGCGCTTCGGGGGAGGAGCGCCGCCCGGTGCCGTCGTCGCCCTTCGCGATGAGATAGAGACGGAAGGTGTGTGCACGTGTGTGGGCGTTCGCGCACACAGGAAGAGGGTGGATAGGGAGAGTGTGTTTATGTCTTCGTGTGTCTCTGCGTGTGTGCGTGTGCATATATGTACATTGGGGTGTGAAAGGGAGGACAAGGGGAGGGGGCGGGGGACAGAGTGCGAGGGGAGGTCTAAGAAGCCTCGCGTGTCCGGGACGAGGGGGGCTTGCGCCAACATGGGCGCCAAGGGGCCGGCCTTACCGCGGGCCGCGGAAGAGGGCCAGGTAGTCATCGACGGTGGGGGGCTTGACCTTGGTCTTGGGAGCGGCATGGCTGACGTAGGGCTTGAGCTGCGCGCGGGGACCATCAGGCGAAGGAAGGGGAGCAGGCGTGTTAGGAAGAGCGTGATGGCCAAGACACATGCAATGCCAGCCGGCCGCCCGTGGCAGGGACAGGGCCGGTGGCGGAGGACGCACCGCGAAGCCGTTGAGGTCGGGCACAATGTACTGGGTGATCTTGGTGAAATCAACGCGGAAGCGACCTGAAGGGGGGAGGGTGTGATAAAGGAGCCGTCAATAGGCGGCTGAGAGGAGCGTCTGTGCGCACAGACACAGCTGTATAGAGATACAGACGTATAGAGATACAGACGTATAGAGATACAGACGTATAGAGATACAGACGTATAGAGATACAGACAGACACACGGGGACACACGGGGACACACGGGGATACACGGGGATACACGGGGATACACGGGGATACACGGAGACACCCGAAGACATAAGCACACACACACACACACACACACACACACACACACACACACACACACAGGCAAGCGCGCGAGCCACCATACATAAAGGGCAGACGAGACACAAACAGAGGAGAGGACCAGCCTAGAACGCACCCTTGTTGTCGACCTTACCGACAGAGTGGGCGCCAACACCCTTGTAGAAGTTGCGCGGGCCATACTTGGACAGGAGAGGACGCCGGGAGGCGCCGCGGACGAAGTTGACCACGGTGCTGAGGAACATGGTGAACGGGGGGGGGTGGGGGGGGGAAAAGAGGCAAAAAGGGCGGGGAGGGAGGGGGGGAGAGAGAGGAGCTTTGTGGCCGGGTGCAGACAGGCAGCCCGGGATCGCCCGCAAAAGCAGCCCTTCAATGCCAGCTCTCCCGGCATGCTGAGCGCCGGAGAGGGGCAGATCCGCTGGCGATCTTGCTTCGCCTCGCCGCGGATGACGCCCCCCAAGCCCGGGAGGGAGAGGACCCTGTCCCTCGAGAACGCGAGCCGGGGACCAAGAGGGCGGCTGGGCCCAGGGGAAAGCCGCGGCCCGTCCCAGCCTTTGTGTGCGGTGGTTTGGGCGCGTGCGCGTCGCGGGGCGGGCGCCGGGGCGGTCGGAGCATCCTTGTCTCGTGACCCGCGTGGAATGCCATTGCCGCGTCAGGCGCCGCGCTCCATGCCGCTGTTCTGTAGCCCTCGATCCCGGGGGCCGAGCGCTGGCACCCGGCGGGGACCCGGCACTGCCCGGCTTCCAGGCGCGTCTAGAAGGCCCGACCGTGTACCGGCGCGTGCTTGGTGCTTCGGGGCTCCTCTGGCACAAGCGCGCATGTGCGCGTGCCCGCTGGTCGGAGTGGGCACTTGGGAGTAGTGCGGAGGCGGACGCGCCCCGGGGGGGGGGGGGGGGGGGGGGGGGGGGGGGGGGGGGCGGGGGGGGCGGGGGTGGGGGGGGGGGGGGGGAACAGCTTCTTCCCTTTTCCTGTGCGTGTGTGTCTGGGGCTCGTCGCCCTTTGTCACACCGACCCCCGCTGTGCGGTGGGGGGAGCGAGGCCGGGAGCGGCGCGGATTTTTGGTGTTTTCCCCTCGCGTGTGTGGCCGCCGGCCCCCGAGCTCTGAGCAGTTGTTGTCTGTATGGAACCCGGGGTTTGGCTGCCCATACGCCCGCGCGCGTGTGTGGGGGGGGGGATGCGTGTGTGTATCTGCGTGCAGGCGTGCGGGCGGGCGGGCGTGCGGATGTGTAGACGCATGTGTGTGTAGAGAAGTGATCGTGATCCCCGACGCGGCGGCCTTTCCGAGGCGCGCCCGCCGGCTGCGCGGCCACCAGGCCGAGAAGAATCCCCGCTGGGGTGCGGAGAATTACCCGGCGCCCGGGCCGCGGGCCCCCTGGTCGCCGCCGATCGGAGGGGGATTGTCGCCCCCCCCGGGGGGGGGGGGGGGCCGGGCCGGGCCGGGCCGGGGCAGGACGCGATCTTGCCACAGGTGTGCACGCTGACCTCCGTGGCCGGCGGTGCTTTCCTTGGTGGACCGCCTCGCCGCTCTGCCGGCACCGGGTCACCTCTCCCCCCGGTGGGCCGATCACCCCCCACCCACACACCATGATCGGTCCCCCTGCCCCCTGTCGTGCCCCCGGGCCGAGGGCCAGCGGGGCCGACTATAAAAGGACCCCCCTGTGGCGCCTCCTCCCCAGGTAGCTCCAACCCTGAACATCTCCCCCCTCAGCATACATACACATTTGTTACATCCCACACGCACTCTCCCCTCTTTCCCCCTCTTGCGCGGAGGCACACTCCTCCTCCTCTCCCACTCCCATCTCCTTTTTTTTCACCCACACACCCCAAGCACAAGCATCGACAGGTACCTACCTACCTACCTGCCTACCTGCCCGCCTGCCTACCAGCGCCCCGCCCCCGCCACCTCTGCACGCCATCCCCGCCCCGGACGCACACAGCCAACTTACACACACACACACACACCTACCTACCACGACACAGGCAGCATAAGGATCAAGAACTCGCTCCAGCCCCTCTGCCCCCACAACAACAACACCACCAACAACAACCCCCCTACAAAGACACGCAGTCATGTCGTTCATGAACACCTTCACCAAAAACTCCCTCAGCGCGCTGGAGTCGGCCCAGAACCTGGCGCGCGGCCTGCAGCACTCGGTCATCCAGCCGGTGCACCTGGCGGTCATCCTCTTTGACCAGCGCGAGGCCCAGCGGGCCAACCCGATGGCCGGGTCCTCGGAGGCCGGGTCGGCGGACTTCAGCCTCGGCCCGGCGCTGGTCGAGCGCGCCGGCGGCGACTTGGACCTGCTCAAGGGGTCCCTGCGCCAGCTGCTAAAGCGCATCCCCTCGCAAACCCCGGCCCCGGTGCAGGTGGAAGTGGGCCCGCACCTGCTGGCGGTCCTGCGGTCGGCCAACAACCTGCGCATGCAGCAGCAGGACTCGCACACGGCGCTGGACCACCTGGTGCTGGCCCTGGCCGGGGCCGACCAGTCCCCGGGCGCGGCCAGCCCCGGGCAGAGCGCCGCCGTGCGCGACGTGCAGGAGGCCCTGCGCGGGGCCGGCATCACGGCCGCCAAGCTGACCGAGGCGGCCCGTGCCACGCGCGGCTCGCGCAAGGTCACCAGCGACATGGACGATGCCAACTTCGAAGCCCTGAAGAAGTACGGCGTGGACCTGGTGGAGCGCGCCTCCAGCGGCCACCTGGACCCGGTCATCGGCCGGGATGACGAAATCCGCCGAGTCATCCGGGTCCTCTCGCGCCGGACCAAGAACAACCCCATCCTCATCGGCGAGCCGGGTGTCGGCAAGACGGCCGTGGTGGAGGGGCTGGCGCAGCGCATCGTGCGCGGCGACGTGCCGGACGGCCTGCACTGCCGGGTCATCTCCCTGGACATGGGTGCCCTGCTGGCCGGGGCGTCGTATCGCGGCGAATTTGAGGCCCGGCTGAAGGCCGTCCTGCAGGAGGTCAGCGATGCCCGGGGCCGGGTGATTCTCTTCATCGATGAGATCCACACGGTGCTGGGGGCCGGCCGGAGCGGCGACGGCGGGGCCATGGACGCGGCCAACCTGCTGAAGCCGATGCTGGCCCGTGGCGAGCTCCGGTGCATTGGTGCCACCACGCTGGAGGAGTACCGGAAGCATGTGGAGAAGGATGCGGCCTTCGAGCGGCGCTTCCAGCCGGTCCACGTGTCGGAGCCCACCATCCCGGACACCATTTCCATCCTGCGCGGCATCAAGGACAAGTATGAGTCGCACCATGGTGTGCGGATTGCCGATGCGGCGCTCGTGAGCGCGGCCCAGCTCGGCGCCCGGTACATCACGCAGCGCTTCCTGCCGGACAAGGCCATCGACCTGCTGGACGAGGCGTGTGCCAATGTCCGCGTGCAGTTGGACTCCCAGCCGGAGGCCATCGACAAGCTGGAGCGCCGGCAGCTTCGCCTGGAGGTGGAACTGGCCGCCCTGGAGAAGGAGGAGGCCGGTGACCAGGCGGCCCGGCAGCGTGCGGACGCCGTGCGCGCCTCGCTGGCCAGCATCCAGGAGTCGCTGGCGCCGTTGCGCGCGCGCTACGAGGCCGAGCGCGGCCGTGTCGACCAGATGCGCACCCTTCGCCGGAAGCTGGACGAAGTGTACCAGAAGATGGAGGAGGCCGAGCGCAATCGCCAGACCGATGTGGTGGCCGACCTGCGGTACGGGGCCATCCCGGACTTGCGGGCGCGCCTGGAAGAGCTGAGCACCCTGGAGGAGGCGGACCGCAGCGCGCCGGCATCCCCGGGCGGCGCCGGCACTCCGGCCGAGGCGCCCATGCTCAGTGAGACCGTGGGGCCGGACCAAATTGCGGAGATCGTTTCCCGGTGGACCGGCATCCCGGTGTCGCGGCTGACGCAAACCGAGCGCGACAAGCTCCTGCACCTGGGGGAGAACCTGCACAAGCAGGTGATCGGCCAGTCGGAGGCGGTGGACGCCGTGGCGGCGGCCGTGCTCCGGTCGCGTGCCGGGCTTTCGCGCGAGCGCCAGCCGGTCGGGTCCTTCCTCTTCCTCGGGCCCACCGGTGTCGGTAAGACCGAGCTGGCCAAGGCCCTGGCGCGGGAGCTCTTCGATGACGAGTCCAACATCGTGCGCTTGGACATGTCCGAGTACATGGAGCGTCACAGTGTGGCCCGGCTGATTGGCTCGCCTCCGGGGTATGTTGGCTATGATGATGGTGGCCAGCTGACGGAGGCCGTGCGCCGGCGGCCCTACTCGGTGGTGCTCTTCGACGAGGTGGAGAAGGCCCACCCGGATGTGTTCAACTCCCTGCTGCAGGTGCTGGATGATGCACGCCTGACCGATGGCCGGGGGCGCGTGGTGGACTTCTCCAACTGCGTGCTCATCATGACCAGCAACCTGGGCGCCAAGCATCTGTTTGACAGCTTCCGCCAGGGGGCGGGCGATGGCACCGGCACCGGCACCGGCACCGGTGGCGGCCTGTCGAAGGCCACCCGGGAGAAGGTGATGGACGCCGTGCGCGGGCACTTCCGCCCGGAGTTCCTCAACCGCCTGGATGACATCGTGCTGTTTGCGCCGCTGCGGACGGACGAGCTGCGCCAGGTGGTTCGCCTGCAGTTCGGCTCGGTCGGCCGGCGCCTGCGTGATCGGAACATCGAGCTGGTCATCGAGGATTCGGCCTGCGACCTGGTCCTGGCCGAGGCGTATGACCCGGCGTACGGGGCCCGGCCGCTGCGCCGGTACATCGAGAAGAACCTGGTCACCGAGCTGTCGCGGCAGCTGGTGGCCGGGGTCCTGCACAATGACCAGCGGGTGGCCGTGGCCGCGGAGCCTGGCGCCCGGCGCTTTGCCTTCCGCGTCCTGGCGGACCTGGCCCCGGCCACCGGCGCCGGCCGCGGGGGGCGCGATGTCGACGACGACGACGACAGCACCATGGACCTGGTCGGTGGTGGCAATGGCGCGGTCGGGCGCAAGGGCGTCCCCGGCGGTGCCCGGCAGCACCATGCGGCCAAGCGCCAGAACACCGGCGGCGGCCGCATTGAGTCCCTCAGCAGCGATGACTTTGAGGACCTGAGCGGCGACGAGGACAGCCACATGGAGGTGGACTCGCGTCGCTAAAAGGGGGGTGGGGCAGAAACGCGTGCGCACGGCCACGCGCGCGCGCTGCATCCCCCTCTCTCTCCCCCCCCTTTTGGTGTGCAGGGCTTTCTCCCTCGGCGCGCGCTCCACGCCTGCTGTGACAGCGCGCGGGAGTTTTTGGAGGAGCCGAAAAGAGAGCATGCCCATCGCATCCGCATCGCATCCGCATCGCACCGAGAGAGCGCGCGCGCGCGATGACACAACACTGGTGGGCATGCGCGGAGCCCCCTCCTCCCTCTCTCTCTCTCTCCGCGCCGGCGGTTGCCGCCTCGCCCCCTTTGCCTTGCCCCCCTTCCCCTCCTCCTCCACTTCTTCAACATCCTCCTTCACATATACACCCCATATATTTTCCCCTGTGCTGCCAACTGCGGGGCCTCTCTCCCTCTCCCTTCTCTCAGTGCCCTAGAGAGAGGGAAAAGAACTCCCACACACATGCAAAATAGACACAGATATCTCAGAAAAGAATCCTCTCAACAAAGACACATGATGCGCCGCGCGCCCCGGGGGTGGTCCTCTCTCGCGGCGACATGCTCTCGGCCCCTTTCCCCTGCCTGCCTGCTGGTCCTCCCCTGGTGGCTGCCTCTGTCGCCCGCCCGGCCGCCTGCCGTGATCGGCGTGCGGAAGGGCCCCGGCAGGGGGGGGGGGGGCCAGACAAAAGTGGCGGCGGTGGGACCACATACGCATGGGCACAGACCTGGCCGACGCCGCGGGCGGGGGGCCTCCAGGGGCGAGGAAGACACCCTCCCCAAACACCAGACAGGGGGGGAGGAGGAGGAGGAGGAGGACAGGCCGGGGAAGGGGCCGACACCGAGCGGCCACGCATGCTGTGTGCGCATGCACGCGCACTGATGGGTATCATATTCGAGGTGTATTTTGTGGGACGCTCTCCCCGAAGAGAAGGGGACAGAAAAGGGACGATAGATGCATGTGCGTGTGGCAAACAAACAACGACAGTGTGATGTGACGCGCGGACGGCTCGCCTCGGCGCGCTAGAGAGAGGGGGGAGGAGGGGGGAAGGGGGAGATATGCCTGCCCCAGGCAGAGGGGCGGGGGAAGGAAAGAGAGAGAGAGAGAGAGGCAGCGCGAGGTGCGAGAGGCGGAAGAGGAAGAAGAGGGGAGCTTCGCTTTGACGGCCCACACACCACCCATACACAGCCCATGCGGCGGCGAGCACGCTCCTGTCCATTTGAACCCGGCTTGGGGCTCTCGTGCGCGCGTCATACACTTCCCCCCTGCGTCACCCGGCTCTCGTGAGCGTGCCCCGAGAGGGAGGGAGGGAGAGAAAGAGAGAGAGAGAGAGAGAGACACACACACACAGAGGCTGAGGAAGTGTGTTGCGCGCGACGAGAGGTGTGTTGGCATGTGTATGTGTAGGTGGGTGGGCATGCGCGCGCGTGCCCTGCGCGGCCGAGCGCCCCCCTCGGCCCCACGGTGCATTCGTCGCCTTCCGCGCGTGGCAAGTGCGCTTAGCAGGCGCAGGAATCGCCGCCGGAGGGGGGGTTGTCCTCCAGGCGGATGTTGGTGCTGAAGTCGCTGTACCTGCGGGGGGGGGGGTGCGACGGGGCGGGCGCACACACGAAGGGCAGACGGAGGGAGGGAGGGAGGAAGGGTCAGAGGATGCGAGGAGCGCGGCAGAGGGGCAGCCAACCAAGAAGAAGGGGGCGGGGCCCGGCGCGGCGTACGGGTCGGCGACGGGGTCCTGCTCGAGAGCCTTGCGAGAAACGGTGAGGAAAGCCTGCTCGACGTTGAGGTTCTCACGGGCCGAGGTGGGGAAGTAGGGGATGTTGAACTTGTTGGCACACCAGGCCTCGGCGCGCTTGGCCGTGACCTCATGCTGGTCCTGGGGGTAGTCAAACTTGTTGCCGAGCACGACGAAGGGGAAGCGGTTCGGGTCGCGGGGGCTGGCCTGGATGAGGAACTCCTCGCGCCAGGAGTCCAGGTTGTCGAAGCTCTTGGCACTGGTGACGTCGAAGACAAGGGCGCAGCAGTCGGCACCGCGGTAGAAGGCCACACCGAGGGACTGGAAGCGCTCGAGGCCGGCGGTATCCCAGATCTGAGGGGGGGCGGAGGGGGGGGGTGGGCGAGGGGCGAGGGGGGAGGTGAGTGGCCGGGCAAAGGGGACAGGAGGACGGGGGAGGACTGGCGTACCTGCATGGTGACGTTGCGGTCGTCGATGCAAACCTCCTTGGTCAGGAAGTCGGCACCGATGGTGGCCTTGTACTGGGTGCTGAACTTGCGGTTGACATACTGGTTCATCAGGCAGGTCTTGCCGACACTGCGGGGGTGGGGGGGGGAGGGGAAAGGAGGGGGCCTTGTCAGCGGCGGCGGGGAAAGGCGGGGGGAGGGAGGGGGGGTGGCACAAACCCGGAAATACGCCCGGAACACGAACGTACCCAGAGTCCCCGAGGATGATGATCTTAAGAAGGAGCTTCTTGCGGGAGGACATTGTGAGGTGGAAAAATCACTGTCATGACGGCGGGGAGGAGGGGAGGTGTCAGGATCGGGGCGGCGCGCGGGGGGTGCGGAAGCGGGAGGTCGGGGAGAGGGAGGCACAGGAGCCTGCAAGCCGGACGAGGGGGGGGGGGGGGGAAACGAGGTGCGGGCAATGGGTCAGTCAGATGCGTCCGTCTGGAGGGCGGGGGGAAGCAACACAAAGGGAGGGGGGGAGACAAAAGAGACCGGAGTCGAGGACCGTGGACACACCTGAGGAGAGGCGGAGGAGGCAGGCCCGGAAGGCGGGATGCATGTGTATGTGTGCGTGCTGGGGGGGGGGGGCTCGGGGCGGACGCGGGAGGGAGGGCGAGCAGCAATGGAGGTGTAGGCGGCGACGCGAAGGAGGATAAGGAGGGGGGCGGGCGGCAATATCGTGGCCGTGTGGGAGCGCGAGGAGGGCGCGTCCCGTGCGAACGCTAGCCAGCCACGATATGTAGGAGAGGGGGCGGAGAGGGGGGGGGGAGCGCGGCAGCAGGGAGAAGGACACAGGAAGGGAGATGGGGACAGAGAGAGAGAGGGGGGGGAAAGGAGGAAGGCGGGGCGGAGACGAACAAGAGCAATGGAAAGGGGGGAGGATCCTTGATTGATGCCGGGTGTTCCGCCGGCGGGGGGGGGCGGGGCCCGCGAGGCTGGCCGAAAAAACAACAACACCTCCCCGCTCCTGGCCCGGGGACACAGAGTGTGGGCACACGCGCCGGGAGGGGGCGACTGTTCTGGCCGGGTCGCACTGGGGGGCGCAGGGGGGCGGAGGCAGGACATCTCCCCCCCCCCTCTGCCTGCGGGGAGGGGGGAAATAATAACACTCTGTCGTCGTGGTCCCGCCGGCCAACCGGGGACGGCCGGCCGGCCCGCGTCTCGCCCCGGGCAATACGGCTGAGAGGCGGCCATGCTCGACGGGTGGGGGCCCCCTCTCGCCCCGGCAGGAGCGACCTCCCCAAAACCAGGTACACCAGGGCCGTCCCCGGGGGCATGTTTGCCGGTCTTCGGCCGGGCCGCAGGGCGGGAGGGGCCCCACGCCGGGGTCCGCGAGTGCCCGGAAAACAATGGACCGGAGTGCACCCAGTCCGAGGACGCGGGGGGGGGGGGGGGCGAGCCCGCCCCGCTGCCCGTTTGGGGAGCCGGGGGCCGCACCCCGGCCCATGCGCCTGCTCGAAGCAGGATCACCGCGCGCCGGAAGGGTGTGTCCCCCGGTCCGCCGGCCCGGCCGGGGGAGGCCAGGCGGAGGTCCGGCGCGTCCGCCACGCATGATGACACGGCCGGCGGGGGGGGGGGGGCAGCGTGGCCGTCCGGCGCTCGGCCGCTTCGGGCGTCGAGCCCTGTCCTCGCGGGTGATCGGGCGCGCTTGTGAGACGGTCGAGGCTGGGCGGCGGGGCCGCCCCCGGGGGCCCCCCCCCCCCGGCGAAAAAGGATATCTTGCCTCCCCCGCGCCGGCGGGAGGGAGGGAGCGCCGCAAGATGCGCCTGGCAGCATGCCGTGACGCCGGGCGCCGGCTGGCTGTCGAGCAAGTAACCCTATCTCCCTGGGCGCGCCCCGGCAACGGGCACACGCCCCGCGGCACCGCCGCCGGGGACGAGACACCCCAGGCCAATGTGCTCCTGCGGCGTCCCCGCCGCTCCCCCGGGCGCGTACCGGGGTCAGGTGGGCCGCCCCCCGGCGGCCCGGCCGGCGGCCGGCCGCACTCGGGATGGCCTTATGTGTGTGTGGGGGTGTGCGCTCGCGGCGCGCGTCCCCCCCCCCCCCCCCCCCCCCCCCCCCCCCCCCCCCCCCCCCCCCCCCCCCCCCCCCCCCCCCCCCCCCCCCCCCCCCCCCCCGCAAAAAAACACCCCCCCCACCCACAACACACCCGCGCCCGCCCCCCCCACCCCCCCGCCCCCCGCCCCCCCGCCCCGCCCCGCCCCGCCCTCCCGCACGCACGTACATGTGCATGCCGCTGAGGAAAAAAAACCCGCACGCTAACAAGGCCGGCGGTGGCGACCACACCTCCGGGACGCGGCGCTCACATGGGGACGCGCACGCCCGGGGCCTATCTCGCCGGAGTCGCGAGCGTGCGCTCGGCCGGCCTCCAAGCCAGCCAATTGCGCGATACCCCCCCCACTCCTGCCCTGCCCCAGGGGGGGGGGGGCGGGGGGGGGAGGGCAGACGAATGCCATGTCACCCGGGGCGCATACGGCCGGCCCGGGGGCCGTCTCCCCGGGCGGCGGGCCTCCTCGGCCTCGGGCCGGGAGGACCGCCGGCTCGGTCTCCCGATGTCAGAAGACCGCACGGTGGGGCCCCCCCCCCCCCCTCGACCGGGGCGATCTGCCGCGCGGGGGCCCGCTCTCTCGGGGCGGCTGCTGCGCCTGCCGGGACCTTTGTGTGCGCAGCAAGGCAACCAGGGCGGGGGGGGGGGGGGCGGAGGGAATGGGCCGCGCCTCCCCCGCGCGCCCCGGGGTAGACGCCCCTGGGGAGAACCTGGTCAGCGCACCTTGTCGGGGGAACACATATAGCGGGCTGGGGGCGGGGCAAAAATATCGCTGCCGCTGGTGGGCGGGGTCGTGTTGTCGGCGAGCCCTCCCCCCCGCCACCCCCCGGAGCCCGGGCGGAGGGGGAGAGACGGCCGGTTGACCGGCGCATCGGCCCCCCGGGCCCGGCGGGCCCCGCGGCCCGACTCGGCCCGGCGCACACAGGCCGGAGGACTGGACAGACAGCGCGAGGGCACCGGAGCGCGCTCCGGTGCTGCGAGGACCGAACATAAAAACGCCCCTCTAACGGCTCGCCCCGGCCGAGAAAACAGATCGCCCGCTCCGGCCCCCCCCCCCCCCCCCCGAGCTCGACCGGAGAGAGGGCGACGGAAAGGGCTCACCCCTCCACGGCCACGCATCGAACCCGCCAGCCATGGAGCCCCGCCGCCGCGCCAGCCACCGCGCCAGCCACCGCGCCGGCCGCCGCGCCCCACGGGGTCCGCCAGCGCGCCGCGGTCGCGGTTCTCACTCGCGCCTTGCCTGGCTGCGCGCCGCTCTCGACACGCACACGCCTACGCCCACCTACTCCCAGCACACACGCACACACGCACACACACACACAAACGCAGAAGGAGGGCGGGGTTTCGCCCGGTCTGGGGGAGAACCCCCCTGCCCCCGGCGGCGGGGAAGGTTGGCCCGGAGAAAACCCCGGCCTGGCCTCGTGCACACTTTTGCGTGTGCGCCGGCGCATTTCCCCGATGGCGCGGCTATCATGTGCGGCTTCCTGAAGAGTTCCCCGGGGCGTGGACGGTGGTGGTGTGATCGATCGGTGGCAGGGTTCCGGGAGCAGGGGTCCTCGCGGGCAGGGCAGGGCAGGGCGACCCGCAGCCAAGCAGGGTGTGCGTATTTTTGGGGCGAGATCGGTCGTGCCCACGGGCGCGGCGCCGCTGGCGCCCGGCGACCCGCCGCGCACGAAAGCACCCGCGCACTGCCTTTGCCCATTGCCCGGCATCCCCTGCGGCGAGGCTGGTAACCCCCGCCCCTCCCCCGTGTGGATGCCCCCCCCCCCCCTTCCCTACTTCGTGTACAGGGGCAGGGCACCGGGGCTCTTGCCAACGGGGCAGCCGTTTCCCCCCCCCCCCCCCCCCCCCCCGGCGGGGCGTATGGCTCCGGGGCGGGGGGGGGGGGGGGGGGCGAGCGGCCGGGCCGGCGCTTGCGCGGGGACGCCTCGATGGGGGAAGGGGCTTTTCCCTTGGGGGCGGCGGCAGCGGGCGCCACAAAGCCTCGGGCCCAACGGCAAGACGTGCGCCGGCGGCTCCATTTTTCCGTCCCCCCCCCCCGGTGCACCCGCGCGTCTGGTATGGACGGTGACGCAGTATCACCGGAGGGGGAATAAAAGGGCGCCTGCTCCTCGGGCCCCCCACATACACATGTGGCGCGGTGTGTAACGCGGCCAATATTAATCCGGCCATTTTCGGGCGCCCGGCGCCCCGGCACCGCGCCCCATGCGCCGCATCCCGGGCGGCTTTTTCCCACACGCCCCAGGCGCCCGGACGGGGGGAGGGGGCCGCCCTTCCCCTGCTCCGGAGGGGTGGGGATCGTCACGTCCCCTCCATTGCGTGAAGGCGGGGGCAGGTGTGGGCAGGCCAACGCCGCCGTGCGTGGGGCATTTTCATGCGGGGGCCGGTCGGGGCGAGTGATCTCCGGCGTTCAACGGGCAGGCGCGCCCGGGGGGGGG